ACTGTGAAGTGTTTACTGCCAATTTAAGAACTAGACGGTACAAAACTCTGCGTTTACAAACTGTCCAAAACAATCTCAAAGACATAGACGCTATAAAGAATCAAAGCCAAAGAGATAGTTTCTGGTACAGAATACATGGACATATCCACCCTCATCTGTCCCGAAAGATGGCATAATTTGGAAATCAATTTTCTTTGAAAGAGTAGGCTACATTTTTTGGACCATATGACAATCATTTCAGACGCAGTTATTTAAAAGATGTTTCTATGTGGTTCGGGATGCCAGATTTTCTCATGAGAGCACCTAGGAGGGGAAGTGACAGATGGGTTGAAGGTATTACTCGGCATTTCATAATCGTCCCCACAGGAAACTGCGATCCCTAGACAACCACATCCCTGGCCTGTTTTCCTTCCTTGCGATGCAGCACACGCAAAATTGAATCTAAGACTGGCAGACGCAGAACATCTATTAAAAACTTTTCATCATTCAGCTCAGATAGCCAATGTGAGTTTTTTTTATCCAGTGATATTACACAACATTGACTCCTTGTGAGTTCGCAATTGTTGCGCTGGCACCAGCAGGCTTTGTTGCGGCAGCTGCGCTGGAGATTAGTGGTTGAATTCCTCAAGACTTGTGTAATCATAGCATCACTTTGTCGAGCCGGCCAGTGTAAGGTTCTGGTTTTACAGGCGTTCAGGACAGATTAATTATCCGTTATATGGTGAGCATTTAAAAATACGATGTTTGGTTTCGTCTTCGAAAACCTTATCTGAAATCACTCACAATTGTATTGTCATGTTAATGCTGCATGAAGAAATACAACTGTAAGACCAATCAGATATTTGACAACTGCAAATAACTGCAGGTTTAACCAGTGAGCTACTGACTCACCGAATGTTTGCAAGGCCCTGTACACATATATAGTTCAGTGGTGTAAACTTGATCCATTAATCTGTCTACCGGATGGATTAGCACGTGTCTGTATTTAAGAGGAAAGCCACGCTAACTTCACCGTATGTGAGAGATTTACTCTTTGAAGTTTTAAGGATGCATCGCTTGCCAGATTTCACACCAGATTGGTCTCAACTGGCTTGTTATGAATATCTGAACATAGGTTCAACTTTTCAGAAAAATTTAAAAATCAAGATCTATAATAACTGAGGTAAAGAGTGTGAAGAAATCTTAAGATAAGATATTTTTAAAACAAAATTTCCGGGTTTTCTAGTGAAAACACCCTAGTAATTTCACGTGTTGAGATCTCAAAATATTATTGTCACTCTTCTTTTAAGTTAAAATCTATTAAAATACAAAATGTTGCAATTTACAAAACTCTTAGTCTTAAATATTCCAAAATTCTTGAATTTTAAATTAGCTTTTTTTCATTTCATGCATAATAACATTTGCTTGGCTTTGATTGAACTGAATGCTATTAACAGGGTGACCATACGGGCCATTTTTACGGGACGTGTCCTTGCCAGGATTTCTATATTGCCTAAAATATCCAGGTTTTGGCTGTTTGCACTGTGCAGATCGATCGTTGTATGACATTCATGAGAGCTATAGAGAGCAGAGCAGACGACTCCTGCTGCTTTCGAATCACTCTTGCAGTACTTTGGTGTCATACAATGATCGGTGCGCAGCGACGGTTCAAGTCGAAAGAACAAACAAACACGTGCACGTATTTGCATCGCTTTGATCGTTCTCTGTAGATCTCACCTTCTCACGCGCCACGATTGGTCGATTATGTACAATACCTGCATATTATTGGTCAAACTACTTTGGATGCTTTATGTGGACAATATAACAATTTTGTAACAAAGTTAGCATTTTTTTATCTAAAATAAATACTAGGAAAAATAAGTTCAACTAACATCAAACATGTTAAACTGTTGGCATCCATGTTTCTAATTAAGTCTTTAAATGGTTAATATATGAATTCAGAATAAATGTGAAAAAAATGTAATTAACTTTATAAATTGTGATCTCTTAGAAGTTAGAAAACAAAACAAAACAAAACAAAAGGTTAAAAAAAAACTGTTGGCATCCCCCCGGAGCCGTGTGGAGTGCTTTTTATGATGGACTAATGCACTTTTTTGGCCTTCAAAACCTTGACCCCCATTCACTGCCATTATAAAGCTTGAAGGAGCCAGTACATTTTTAAATATAACTCCGATTGTATTCGTCTGAAAGAAAGTAATTTACACCTAGGATGGCTTGAGGGCGAGTAAAACATGGGGTAATTTTCATTTTTGGGTGAACTTTCCCTTTAAGTCTTTAAATTGTTAATATACAATTTCAGAATAAATGTGAAAAAAAAAAAACTTTCTAAATTATGATCTTTTAGAAATTAGAAAACAAAACAATAAAAGGTTTAAACAATGTAAAAAAAAAAACTGCTGGCATCGTTGCTGGATATTTTTCAGGAATGAAGCCTGTATTCCAAAAAAGAATAATATTTTAAGCAATTCACAGCCATATTTGCATGGTACTGTCAATCAAACATTTTTGCAGCGTGTACATGGCCATAGTAAATTTCGGGCTCTCTTCTCTCTGAAACAAGCATCCTCTGTGCCAAATACCAGCAGCTACTTCAGATTTTTAAAATAACATTTTAACCAATTGCTCCATGCAAACTCAGACATTGAGATTTAGACAGAAATTAAATGATCAAATGACCCTGGTTTTTGTTACGGTCAATTACCCTTGGTATGGTCTGCAATCAAAAGTTTTTCCAAGACCAAATTATATGGGGCATGCTATCTGCATTAGGTTTTTTTTTTTTTTTGCTATAAACTGTGGCTAAATGTCATCTTTTGTCTCTTTTTTTTTTTTTTTTGCTTTAAACCGGGGCTAAAAGTCATCTTTTGTCTCTTTTTTTTTTTTTTTGGTTATTTTATTTTTTATGAAGAGACAGTTGATCCTCAAATGAAACATACAACTTACACTACTGTATAAAAGCGCAACCATAGAGCAATTTTCTCAGTTTAGTGTACAAAACACAAGCCTTAAACAAAGACTACAAATATTACTCATTAAACTTAATATTTGCAGGTGAAAAACTGTACATAGAAAATCTGTTACTTCTTCCCTTAGAGTTTCACACCAATTCACACTCGCTAAGCCTTTGCAAAGCTCTGAATACAAACAGATCTGCAGTGTATTCCAGCATTTTTGCATTAGTGCTCGATTTACCCCTCTGTTTCAACTGCAAACCAAAATAAACCCCAGTAAGTCTTGGGCTTTTCAAAGCAGCGCGAAAAACAACAAACTGAATCCAGCCATCACAACTTTTATCTCCTTACATTGCCTTTTCTGAGCAATAACCAGGGTGCGAACTACGGGGGAGCTAGGGGCAGCTCGGCTCCCCTTAATAAGACATGGGCTCCCCTGAAAACGTGATTTGTGAAATTTTGGGGGGTCTCAAAAAATATTGACAATGTGTTATTTTGACGTGCAATTTCAGTTTTGTGTAATGTGATCATCGTGGATTATTATGTGTAAAATTGCAAAAATATCATTCATTCATGCATGACGGCGATTTAAACCTAATTCACTTCAATAAAGATAACTATACATGCTATTCTTGTCATGAGCATCAAGGTGTGGGGGCGCTGCGGTGCAAATTCCACTCATGTTTAGTGCATGTTAACTCAAAGATTCGTAGAAAAAATATAAACGTTGGACTCTGTGGTCGATTCTGTGTTAAGGTAAGGCATGTTATTCGCAATTATGTGTTGTGGCTGGGTTGTTATAGGTCTGCGTGACTCTCGATGTCTTAGGCCTAATTGAACGGAGGAATTATGGTATTCTTCTGTAGCCTGACGACGAGTAACTTTAACCGTTGTTCATGTGAACTCAAAGACAGCTTGATGCTTTGTTTATAGACTATTTGTGGGTGGCTGTTTGTTGTTTCACCTATCAATTCGTGTCGATAAAGTATAATAGGGTAAATCCTGTATAGTGATTTATCCTATATAGTGCTTGCATAAAGCAAGTAGTGCATACACTTGTAGCTGTTAAGTATCTTTGTAAGTCATTGTAAGCCCTCTTTTGAGGCACGCGCAAGCGCACGAACCCCCCAGCCCCCTTATAAAAAAAAACAAACAAGTGGGCTCCCCCAAAGTCCACGGTATAGATCGAACACTGGCAATAACAGTTATGTTTGTCACGCATGACGTTTTGCCTACACTGAAAAGTAAATGTCACGTTTCCCATGAGACACGGTCAATAAATCTTGCTGCACCCTTGCTCTTGCTCGCGATATAGAAAAATTAGTTCAGAGTTCAGAATATAAAAGCATTAAACCAGGGCTACTCAGCTTAAGGGCCTCACTGCTAATATTTATAGTATTATTTTATATTAAAGAGCTCATTATTTACTCACCCTTATGTTGTGAAACTGTATGAGCTTCTTTTGTGGAAAATAAAAGAATTATTCTAAAGAATGTGCATACAGTGAAAGTCTATGGGGTCCAAAATGACATCGTACCACATTGACACTCAATTAACAGACAAAGCCATTTTCAAAAATATATTCTTTTTGTGTGCCGCAGGTTCACGCATGACATGTGTAAAGACCAAAGTCTCCTGTAAATGTGTTCAGTAAAGGTTCTCAAGGTCAACAGAACCCGTTTTCAGATGTACTGGTGATATGCAGCTTAACCACAAATCCCATCATCCACCCTGACACTTTATCAATACCTCAAACGGGAGACCAGAGGTTCACGCATGACATGTGTAAAGACCAAAGTCTCCTGTAAATGTGTTCAGTAAAGGTTCTCAAGGTCAACAGAACCCGTTTTCAGATGTACTGGTGTATCCACCAGAATCCCATCATCCACCCTGACACTTTATCAATACCTCAAACGGGAGACCAGAGGCCCTCACCAGAGGACCTTAAGTTGACCCGCGTAACTGATCTATGACCACGCTTCCCAAACCAAATCTAAATTTTATATACCACAAAGCAAAATCGGTTTAAGATCAGTTATGGAGACTTACCTGTAAGATTTGTGGAGAGCAGGAGCAGAGCGTCGCAGGTCAGGTCAGCTGTTACCCTGGAGATTAGCGTAATCCAGATGGTCAACACCTGCAACGGTGGTGCAAAGAAAGGAAATTTGTGGAGGGAAAACAAAAGTGTGGCTTTAGAATCCATCTGGATATCCAGAAAGAGACAGCATACAATGTAAAAGTAAATCAGGTCAACATCTGTCTCATGCTAATGCAGGTACGCCTGTCACACGGTTGTGCTTCTGAAGTCATACACTAGCTATGTGTGAGAAACAGACTGAAATTTAAGTTGCTTTCGAAGATGTGCAACTTTACTTCCCCACTGCTTAATTGGTTACCTGTAAAACCGTACAGTTATGTAAACATAACTTGCTTAATTACAATGAAAGTCTAGTGAATAAATTACATTTTAATTTAGGGCCCCATGAAATTAGATATTATTTCCCAAATTCTGTGTTTTCCATTTTATTTGTATTTTTTGCATTATGTGTTTTAAGATATAATAATATAAAAAAAATAAAAATAAAATAAAATTTGTGAAATTAATTAAAATTCTAAACATTTAAGAAATGTTAAATTAAATTAAATTAAAGTTTACATTTCTTTTTTGTATACTTGTATACTCTATAAAAACATGAAAAATATGGGAAAAACATGGTTGTTTGAAACAAACAAACAAATGAACGAACGAATGAGCGAACGAACGAACGGATGAATGAATGAATGAATGAATGAATGAATGAATGAATGAACGAATTAATGAATTTGATAATTATTCTTATTACATAGAGAAGCACATTTTATAATAATAATATATTTCTGTCATAATTTCAAGTTAAATTGGACTTTTATTTTGGTTGTTTGTTGTGAAGACCTTTGTGTTGCAGCGTGTATTTGACCATAGGTGTTAACAAATGAAACAGCTCATGAAGTGAACTGTAAGAACAGCGTTGGATATGAAGTTTATGTAAAGTGAGACAGCAGATGCTGAAAATACCATGAGCATCACACATGTATAGTGTAGTGTATGTGTATTAGTGTATTGCATGTGTAGTGTAGGTTAAATATAGAAAATTACTCAAATTTTTCATCAATGTCATGGACTTATTTTTATGATAAATATAGATTTAAATGTATTGCCCTGCCCTAACTGTAGGTTTACATTCACTATAAAATTTTACATTTCAGTTAAATTAAACAGTGATTTCTCTATTAAAGGGGTCATAAATGTTATCCTCTTTTGGAAGGGCAAACAAAGTATTTTCGCTTTCACAACGAAACACAGTGTCACACATGGTGGCCTAGAGTGAGCAGAGGTCGGGGGCTAGAGTGAGGAATGGCCGGAGGGAGACTTTAGTCTTTGCAACTTTACAGATCTTCTTTATGCACCAAGAGCTTGTAACACTCCAAAGAGAAAGGAACGCATCATATGACCCCTTTAAAATTGTAATGTGAAATGTTCAGTCCAACTGATTTAGTTTTGACTATTTAGTCTCAGACCAGTCAGTTTTTTTACATAGACTAAACTGTAGCAGATGTTTACTGTATTTATGTGCTAAATATCTGTAATTCAGTTTCTTATTTCTTATTTTATTTAAAAGGATAGTTCTCATTCTAATCAACGATGTAGCACTTCATCGCACAGTTATTTTATACTAAATTCTTTCCAACTTTGATTTTAAAAAGATTTGATGTTTACTGTATTTATGTGCTAAATATCTGTAATTCAGTTTCTTATTTCTTATTTTATTTAAAAGGATAGTTCTCATTCTAATCAACGATGTAGCACTTCATCGCACAGTTATTTTATACTAAATTCTTTCCAACTTTGATTTGAAAAAAAAAAAGCTCCAAGATTTAAAGATTTAATACCCAGAAGACCAGGGCTTTTGTTTCAACATTCATGCTCAGGAAATGAGAGGGAAAAATCACAGATGTGACCCTTGTGCCCTAACATCACACCGACTAAATGACTCCCTCTCCGAACTAAATGCAATTTATTATTTTCAAGCAGAATCCATTAGATATGTTTTACTAAACCACAGTTTTAATACTAATGGCTCTTTGAACAGCAAGAGAGACAATGAGGTTCTGCATGTGCTTGATTTGCTGTTATGTGACTGTCTCTAATTCATAGCCCTGGATACAAATACCCTTACAGCATACTAAACCCACACAAAGAATAGGGATGAATGAAATGATATCACCTTCCTAAAACAGAAATGGACAGCAGTCTATGACTGAACCCAACACACTGCACTTCCATTCTCAAAAGGCTTGAGGCCTTCAGTCATAAAGTTTGCAAAGGCCCCAGATGGTCACATGACCTCTAAAAGCTTTCAGGGCCAGCTGGATGATCCTTCCACACCCCATAATGAAACCATGAAAATTTATACCACCACCACAGACTCATTATGTCAACGGAAAGCAGCACTGTCACGTCGAGTGAAGTCTTTCAGCTAAGCGCTAAAATTTTTACTAGCTGTACAAAAATGACTGAAAGCTCCCAGTGGCGTGAGGTGAACAGCCCGCTGTCTTCTGGTCCCTGACCTCCGTCACATGAGGACAGGTTTACAGAGTTCAGTGTTGACAGCTCTAACGACCGTCTGCGGCACATACTCGAGCTAGCGGGAGACAAACAGTGGGATTGAGGAGGGGAAAATGGAAGAAATACAGCCCCTGGTGTGTTTTATGAGCTGGCAGAATAACACTCCTCTCGCTGGTCGACTGCTGGCTCACTCGCCAGTAATCTTCTTGAGGCCTTGAACAGCCTTTTCCTCAGGTCCTTCCAGAAACATCCCAAACGCTCATGCTATTGTTTTCCCGGCTCTTCCAATCCCTCCGCTGTCTCTTTCACAGACTTCATCCAGGCTGGCTTGTTCCACAAGGGTGCTGAAGGCTGGTTTCGTGTCGAGGGACGGTTGTGCCTTCAGACTTTCCTGTCACTTGGAACAGTTTCACTTCATCACCCTCAGCCACCAACACTGAAGGACGGACCATTGTATAACCCATGTGCTGGACAGGATTACCCACGAGGGCTTCAAGCCGTACTGTACACACACGATAGTTTGACAAACAACTAGAGAGCTTTGTGCTGACATGACCAGCGGGGAGTAACTAATTAATAGTAGTGGCGTTACTAACTTAACTACAATTTTCAGTAGCCTGACAGCAGTTAAGCCCTATGTAATAGTGTAACTTGTCCAGTATCAGTCTCTCGTTTATGAAACATTTAAGTGAAGTGACGTGTGGCCAAGTATGGTGACCCATACTCGGAATTTGTGCTCTGCATTTAACCCATCCAAGTGCACACACACAGTACTGAACACACACACACACACCCACCATGAACACACCCGGAGCAGTGGGCAGCCCCAATTGAATGAATGAATGAATGAATGAATGCTTTATGTAATAAAATAATAAAATAAAATAAAATAAATACCTCACCAAATAGCTCAGATGCTTGAGCTTCTTATCACGAGGACAATAAACTTTCCCCAAAAAAGACCTAACGGCTAATTATTCGTACATAAAATCTAGATAACAAAGGTCAGCATCAGTTGCAGTCTTTGTGTGGCAGAATTTCATTATCAAGCATGAAATATCATCCACAGGTCATATGACAAATTGACAAATCTTACATGACCCATTTACTTTCTTTTCTTGAATAGTTAAAACAAATGACAGAAAACCTCTGGAACATCCTAAAATATAGCAATCTCTGGGGCATACCTTGGGAATGACTGGTCTAAGCTATTAGACGCTTGGTTAAAACAGGAATGAGATGTGACAGAATTCCCCATATGCTTTGGCACAGTATATCAACTATTTATAAGACAATGATATATGAAAGATGGCATCTTAGTGAAGAAATACATGAATGATACACATGAATGAATGATAAGGGATACGTTAATATAAAACTAATGAATAAATGAATGAATGAATATAAAACCAAAAATATTAAAACATGTCTTTTAAGAAGCACAAAATATGAATCAAAATGCAATCTATTACATAAAGCAATAATATATATATATATATATCAAAATCCACCTATCTGCACTTAAAGGTGCTGTATGTAAATTTTTGACTCTACTAAAGCATAAAAATACTAGGGCTGCACAAATAATCAAATTTCTAATCGCGATTACAATTATGGATGTCACAATTACGTAACCGTTCAAAGCGGCAATTAATCGTTCAAAGTCCACTTATGTTATTCTGTGTGCTTAAGATGCGTTTTTTTCTTTCTACATGTTTTCTTAAGGGTTTTTCCATTGTTTTATTTTATAGTTTTATATTCCATTAGTTTTAGTATAACATTATAATACCATTCATATTTTCACTTTTTTATAATTAATTTTTTATAAATATTTTATAATTTAATTTTTCAGTTAGAGTGTTTTCAGCTTGTTTATTTTCATATAAAAATAAAAACCCTCTCCAATATTTTGAATTTGGACAGCAATACCTAGTTCAACCACTCTGTGTCAATCCTACATACAGCACCTTTAACATTTTCTTCAAACAAGACTTCCTTGTTCAACCAGTTTCACCGCATTGACCATACTGGTTTGGCTGGTGAACTGCACCATCTAGACGAGCACCAAACCAGCACTAGCCAGCATAAACAAGCCTCAACCAGCATATAAATTCATGCAGGTCTAAACTCATCTTTTCAACAACAGTGCTTTTTGGTCTTGCTCGCAAAGCCAAGTACTTAAACATCCTTGATCTCCTTCAAAAGTAAGAACAGTACAAAACACACATTATTGTTCATTATCAAAACACCCCAGACTCCACAGGGAAGCTCTTAAGCACCTTTCTGATACTCCTCCTATGAGACTGGGAGCTAATGAAAAGGCATCAGGCCCAGAAATGAACTACTGTTGTCTCAGTATACCTTCCTTACATGTTGTAGGTGTGACACCTCACATTTCAAACAAAGACCACTCTGTCTAACCTTATGGCCTTTACCTCATTTTGCCTCCTTCTGTCTCTCTTAAGGAACTCTTCAGATTGGCCTTGAAGGAACACCCTGCTGCAAAGCAGAACGGAGAACTCCCCTATCAC